CGGGTGTTTACCAGATCGAATCAGAGCTTGGAACCTTGGGTGTTCACAAGACCGAATCAGAGCTCGGAACCTCGGGTGTTTACCGGATCGAATCAGATCTGGTGCTTCTGTGTCCAGAAAGTGAGGTTTGAGGCCAGCTTCTCAGGATGGGCACGAACACGTGCTATCATTGAGGGGGCTGTTGTGGGAACCTATTGCTTCCATCTGCTCAGTCCTTTTGTCTGCCATCCGGCAAAAGAACCTGACCTCTTGGCCAGAAGGATGGACACATGATCTCAGCCAGAATCAGAAAGTCCTCTAGTGGGATTTTTCAGATGGGGTCTGGGACAGACAGGCTGCTTCTCCCAGTGTCAGAGTGCCGTGGCCGTGACAAGTGAGTGTGCAGGGAGTAAAACCAACACAAGGGGCCCAAGAGGGAGAGACTTGAGGCTCCGGTCATCTCCGAAGCCGCCTTGCCACCATCTGGCTGTGCACTTGATCATACCAACCTGACCGAGCTCCCTCGGATTGGGTTTGGAGAATGTACAGGCTCCTGACTAATGGACGCCCCTGCGGGGGCAGGAGCTAGGGGCTGCGGGGAATCACGACTCTCACATTGGCTCCATACCTCCAATTCCTGAAGAATGACAGCCATTGATTTGTCACGGGAGATGTCAGAGCAGATTCTCTGTTAGAATCTCGGTGTGATTCCTAGTGCTTTAGTGAGCATGGTTTTTATTTTGGATATTTGCACCAAACAAGGGTTATAAAGGTAGAAGCTTGAGAGAACAAGGGATCAGAAGAAGGAAGGATTCTTTCTGAGTCCCATGGACGTGATGTGGCAGTGAGGTCAGGGGCTGTGACCAGGGAGAGCCGTGGGGGATCCAGAGATTTTCTTCTGAGTATCAGAGATGATGCCCTGAGTTTCTGCCGAAGGATTTCGGACCCTTCCCAAGGCGACCACCTACCTGCCCTGGTTTTTCAGGAAAAGAAGGGGTTCCCGAGAGGTGGGATTTTCGGTGCCCAAACCAGAAAGCTCAGGTGAACTTGGACACGCTGTCTCTGGTTTGTTGCTTTTGTGAAAAATTCTCAGGGCTCAAGATTCAGTTAGGCTCTGTGATTGGAGGTTTGTCACAGTGGGTGTGCTGAGTTCTTGTTTTTGTTTTTGTTTTTGTTTGACCCAGCAGTAGCTAAAAAGAGAAGTTGAAATGCATGGTAAGATTCCAGAACCCAAGATCAAACGTTTGCCATGTAAGTGGGTGAACAGAAGGATCCTCAGGCAGGTTGGAGATGCAGAGCCTTTGAGATGTGATCTCGTTCAGGAAGACAGCGGCACAGGTGACGGGAGAGCAGGGGACCCCTGAACTTCTGGATGCCGAGGAGGAGGACAGCACAGGCCCAGGAGCAGAGAGGCTGATGGTCGGTTGGGCGGCTGGCTGGGGGCTCTGAGGAGGAAGCCCCCATGTGAGGACCCGCAGGTTGTGCAGATGCTGCCTTCCTTCCAGTCGTGAACGTGGAATAGCTTAGAGAGGTCTATCGGGTGCCATCTTGAATCTGTCCAGAAGTGGGTGCCCATGCCATGGTAGAGCTTTAACAAGGAAGAGCTTGGGTTCCCCAATCTCTGGACCTTGATTCCTTGTTTTCCTCTGACTCACAGGGGAGCCTTGGGTTTCTGGAAATTGTTACATTCATGTTTCTCCCCCTACAACTCAGTTTTAGACTTCATAAAAGTGTAGGGTAGATAGAGAAGGGGGAAAAAGTCCAGACAGGATGCACATGATTTAATTACAATTTTCCAGGTTATTAAATGCACGTATCTTTTGAAAACCGGGATTGCACGGTTTTATTTGGCAACCTGATTTCTCTCATGTGTATGCTTTCTGAGCATAAAATGTGCACATAGATGCGCACGACGTTAGAAGCACGCGATACACGTAGCCGCGTTGCGCCCTCCGTTTCATTGTGCGCAACTCATACATGTCGTTATTGTAGCTTCTGGAAATATACCTTCAGTGTCGTACAACATTGCTACGTGTGGACGCAAACAAAAACTATCTGTTTCAGCAGTGGGCATTCAACCCTCTCTAATTCGTGACATTAAATGTTCCATGGCAGCGAGTATGGCACAAGGTTCCGTGTATCCTTGAGTGAGTCTTTGCTTCGTGTCCTATTATTTCCTTAGGCTAGATTTCTAGAGGTAGTTCAAGGAGGACACACAGATTTTGGGCTCTTATTACACATGGACAGATTGTTTTCCAGAAAGATTCACCCATTTTATACTCTTGCCCTGAGTGAATGATAATTTCCCTTGTACCTTTACCGATTGAACCCTCCAACTCTGGCCAGAAGGGAGTGGAGAGAATGGGTGATGGGCGTTGAGGAGGGCACTTGTTGGGATGAGCACTGGGTGTTGTATGTAAGCCGACCTGACAATAACTTATATTTAAAAAGAAAGAAAATATTTGCCAATTTGATGGATTAACAAAAGATATTTTAACTGGCATTTGTTGGATTAGTAGTGGGGGTTGATTTTTTAAACGTATTTATTCTTTTTTTTTTTTTTTTAATTTTTTTTTTCAACGTTTACTTATTTTTGGGACAGTGAGAGACAGAGCATGAACGGGGGAGGGGCAGAGAGGGAGACACAGAATCGGAAACAGGCTCCAGGCTCTGAGCCATCAGCCCAGAGCCCGACGCGGGGCTCGAACTCACGGACCGCGAGATCGTGACCTGGCTGAAGTCGGACGCTTCACTGCCTGAGCCACCCAGGTGCCCCTACCCTCAGACTGTTTTAAAGTCAAAATTGATCTTTTGCTGTGATTTTGTTTCATTGCGTTTATTCTCAGAAAGCTCTTATGTGAATTAAACTTTACTTATATGGTATTTTGATTATCTCATGATTTCATTTTTTTTAACATTTTTGATTCTGAAAAAAAATTTTTTTTTTGTAATCTTGACAACAAAATTAGAAACAGAGCAAGTGCAGAGACTAATTTAACGCATACTCG